TCGCCTGGCATGCGTGCGGCCCGGGTTCGATCCTCAGCACCACATACAAACAAAGATGTTGTGTCCGCCGAAAAACTAAAAATATATATTAAAATTCTCAAAAAAATTGAAATAAATTGACGTTACTCCAATTAAAAATATGAATATTCAGAAGAGACAAAACTTGATAAAGTTAAAACATATCTAATCCAATCTTTTCACTTCACAAACAAGAAACTGAGGCCCAAGGAGATTAAATGACTTCATGGAGATAATGTAATTAAAGATGGAGTCATCCTAACAACTCTGGTCTCTCATTCTAGATCAGGAGTCTTTCCATGTATTACTAACATCCAGTTTATCCTACCAATTTAGACACCTTTTCTTTTTCTTTTTGATTTGTAGTACTGGGGATTGAACCCAAGATCTCACACATGCAAAGACATGTGCTCTACCACTGAGCTATACCCCAACTTTTGTTTGTTTTGTTTTGAGACTATTCTCACTAAGTTGCCCAGACTGGTCATGGACTTTATGGTTCTTCTGTCTCAAGCTTCTGAGTAGCTGGGACAACAGGCATGTACCACCATACCCAGCCTAGATACATTTTGAGATTTTAAATATTATCTGCAAAAAGGTTAAAACTACTTATGAATGCAAAGAATATTATACAAAGATAATTTCAAGAGAGTAAGGGACGTCAGGGACTTCAATATTTTGGTTTTTCAATCCCATTTTTGTCTACAGTGATACTCAAAGTTATTTCATCCCAATCCCCTTTTCACAAATTTGATTCAAGAATATAAATCTCCCCTTGAGTTCTCCCCTTTAAATTTCACCACACATTATTAACTTATGATACTATACCGAGAATTTTACATGAGGAAACAATTGTAAAACAAATTATACACTATTCAAAAATACATATTATATAACAAGGGACTTACCAGAGTCTCTTCAAGTGAATGTGTCAAATGGATATTGTTTATGTATTCTTGTCCCTTTTCTTCCAACAGATATTTACACCTAAACAATATAATAACACTAAACTTTAGTAGCTGATAAATTAGTAAAGATAGAATCTCCATCATGTTAATTCCATTAATTGCTTTCTGTTATTTCTAAGGAGCCACAAAAAGTAAAAGGTTGCCCAATGCCCTAGCCAACTGTCATTTTAAGGTTAAAAATTTTTTCCATTTCTTATGTTACTTATGCTAATAGATAAGACTTGGTAGAACAAAAAATACCAACCTGAGAACTTTCAACTTTTAAGCATGAATTATTGAATTAGCACCTTGACTTATTTTTTAAAGTTTAAAGTTGTCACTCCTTTTAATAGGCCTTTATTTAGAGGATTAACCAGTTGTATGTACATTTAAAAATCTTCATTTTCAAGCTTTCCTTTTAAGGTCGTTTAAGGGTAAGGTGTCTTTTCAAATGATCACCCTCAAGTTTTAAGCTGTCATTTTGTGGGACAGAAATTCACATCACTTATTATACCTGAGTACATTATTTTAAAGAGGCAAGATGGAAAAGAGACATTTAGGGGTATATCATCATCCTAATATGCCACTTACAGTAAGAAGCATGATTATTTAATATACCACCTAAAACTGCTAATTAATTATGACCCACCACCAGATGTGTCCTTATTTCAGAGGTCTTAAAATAGTGGGGCACACCTGAAATCCCAGCAGCTCAGGAAACAGGAGGATTGCAAGTTCAAAGCCAGCCTCAGCAAAAGTGAGGTGCTAAGCAACTCACTGAGACCCTGTCTCTAAATAAAATATAAAGTAGGGCTGGGGATGTGGCTCAGTGGTCGAGTGTCCCTGAGTTCAATCCCTGGTTCCCCCCTCCCCACAAAAAAAAGAATTAGGGAAATCCATTAGTATTTCCTAGGGCATATGATAGCTTCTTCAGGACTCTCCTTGGCAACACAAGTTCTCTTAAGCCTCTCATAAAAGAGCCTACTTCCAATAAATAAAAAAGTATACAATTTCTAATTTGGTGTTTAGAAATGGGACAATCTGAATGTCACAGATATTCAGACATATATGCAGTGAATATTTTGGCCACAAGAGGCAGCTTAGGTAATTTTTTTAATAATGCAGGTGATCCCACTTTAATAAACATTGTACAGATTTCAAGCCATACACAGCAAAGGCAAAAATAGTTGAGGTGAAAAGTAAATCAAGTCTTTCCATTGTATAATGTCCAACTTGCCTGTTACTGAATGAACAGTTAAGCATCTTCCTTGGGGCTGGGGATGTAGCTCAATGGTAGAGCACCTGACTAGCATACATGAGGTCCTGGGTTACATCCCAGGCATCACATAAAAAAATAATTAAACATCTTACCCTGGATACCACTTGGCATGCTGTTCCCAAGGGTCTTCACTGGGCTTCCAATCCGTTAGCCCTCCTCCACAATGAAAGCACTTTACTTTATCACCTTCACCTAAGGAAACACCAGTACAAATACATGTATTTGTGCATTTAGAAGCTTATACAAAAATATCTGTTCTAACACCTACAACTTGAACATATCTAAATTACATAAAAATCTCAGCACTTTCATATTTGCATCTAAGTAGTAGATAAGCCCCACCCCCCCAGTACCAGGAATTGAACCAAGAGGCGATTCACCACTGAACTATATCCCTAGTCCTTTTTATTTTGAGACAGGGTCCCATTCAGTTGCTGAGGCTGGCCTTTAACTTGCCATCCTCATGCCTCAGCCTTCTAAGCCACTGGGATTACAGGCATGTACCACCATGTCAGGCTGATCTTTATTTATTTTAGGAGGAAATACACATGGAACTCAATGAGTTGATCTGAGATATTTAACAAAAGACAACTAAAAAATAAAAGTGACCATTTTTTTTTTTTGGTAACAGAATTGAACCCAGGGGAGCGTCACCAATACACCACATCTCCAGCCCTTTTTATTTTTTATTTTGAGACAGGGTCTCACTGATTTTCTTAGGGCCTCACTAGGTTGCCGAGGCTGGCCTCAAACTTGTGATCCTCTTGCCTCAGCCTACCAAGTCACTGGGATTACAGGTATATGTTACAGCACCCAACTAATACTGACCAATTTTTATGTTAAAACTAATTGTTATATTATTTTTAATGTGTGTTACTTGAGCTATTAATATTGCATTTATTTTATCAAATTATAAAACTTTAAAATAAATTATGTTCCAAGCATTAATAACAACAAAGTTCAGCAATGAAATTACAAGATAAGTTGCTCTAAGGTGATAGCTGCATGACACTAAGCAAACTTTTAAGACATATGATGATTACTATATAAATGAAAATTTTTGAAATAACTTGTATTTTGCATTTTGGCATTATTCAATCCTAAAATTAATGGGTCAGACATATAATAACCATAAAAAATATTTCTGGAACCCATTGCACTAATGACCCCTCCTGACACTTCCACAACATCTATCTGAAAAGCATTCATTTGAAGCAAAAATATAATACAGGGAAGCTTTCAAATATATAGTTGATATACAGGCTAAACAAAACTCTTTTTTTTTAGTTGTAGGTGGACACAATACCTTTATTTATCTTTTTATGTGATAATAAAATAATAATTATGCTGATAATCAAACCCAGCGTCTCGCACATACCAGGCAAGTGCTCTACCGCTGAGCCACAACCCCAGCCCCCAAAACTAAACTCTTAAATGTTAATTCTTTCTACAGGGTTGTCATGAAGCTTAGAGAAAATTCATGTAATATGTACTGAGCACATGTAGTAGATGCTCAAAAAATGATAGCTAGTGTTACTATTAGACCCATTTTATATCAGCGATATATATCATTTGCCTATTTTCACACTCTTAAAAAACATTTACATGACCATAAACATGATTCATAACATGGTAGTCTCTCTCTCTTTCTCTTTCTTATTTTTGCAGTACTGATAATTAAACCTAGAGACTTGTGTGTGCTAGGCTACTACTGAGCTACATTCCCAGCCCTCATGGTAGACTTTTTTTACATAAATTTAGTAGTGACATTACAGATTCAACATAAGAGAATAATACTGATATAAATAAGCACACCAGCTTATACCAAAATATTTACCAGTTCAGGGGGTTAAAGGCATCTCTTAATTTTTTAAGAGCCCTGGAATAGTTGGAAAGTTATTTATTGGTTATGTTTACCTAAAGCATAAAATCCAGCTCTTGCAAGCTGCTCCTTGTTAACTGAGTATATCCACGTCCCAAAAGTAATGATCCGTGCTTCATACTCTGCCATGGCTGGATTTCTTGGTGGATTTGTTGGATTTGGGAAATTCCTATCAGAACTTACAACATCAGATTCACTTCGAACATTAATGTTCCGGCCCAAAACAAAGAAGCAGTTAGGAAAGTGTCGCCTGTGTTCTGACCAGGCACGATCACAAGGTTCCCAATTTTTCAGTTTTCCACCACAACAAAAGCATTGTACTTGATCATCAATACCTGTGTAGTAGAGTCCAGCACTAGCTAACTCTCTGGGGGTTAAGTGGGCATAGTCTGGCCAGTTCTGAAATGACTTTAGCTAGTCTTGGCTACCCATGGTGGAGTTCCTCAGGCACCGGTGTCTGATTTATCTACAAACTGTCCACTTCTCAAGAGTGCAGGAGTCTCCAATCCCCCATTTAAAGCAAAACAATTTCAACTTCCAGGTACTTTTGGACTTCATACTGACCATTTGGGACACCAGGATTTGTAGGTTGTGCAGCACTATTTTCAAAATAAAAGCCGTTGATAAATCTGCAATTTGGGGATACTTTCCTGTGTCTTCCAATTGCTGAGTCTCCATATTGCCATCTATCTACTGCCGCATGACAACTAAAGCACCGCACAGTATCTCCTTCACCAGTATAAAGAAAACCTGCTCGTGCCAGTGTTGATGCTGAAACAGGGCTACTACTTGGAAAATTAGCAAAAGTTTTTAATCTATTAAACTCTTCTACAAATTCTTCATCTTTATTGATGTCTGCCGGTACACAAGTTTTAGATCCTTCAATACTGTTAAAAGTCATCTTCTCTTGAAAATAGGATTTGTCCACCTTTTCTAAAAAGAGAACATTACATTAGGAAATCCAAAATGTGAAACATAAGCAATATACTTTTGATATTAGGAGCTAACAAATTATTGACTAAAAATAACTACACAATCACTAAAACACTTTCTAATTCTAAATACTAGAATTCTACATTACCACATCATTCAAATCATATAATCTGGTATTTATTTTTTTCTCTTTCTTTTTTGGTGATGCTGGAGATTGAGCTTCATACATGCAAGATAAGCACCTTACCACTAGAGCTACATCCCCAATTCTTTTTTTTAATTCTCTCTGTTCTTTCTAGACATGCTAGGCAAGTACTCTACCACTAAGCCACATCCCTAGTTCTTTAGTATTTTTGAGACAGTCTTTCTAAATTGCCCAGGTGGGCCTAAAATTTGGGATTCTCCTACCTCAGTCACCTGAGTAGCTGAGATTACAGGCATGTAATCTGTACCTGGCCTGTTTTCTCTTTTTGAGGAAAGTAATATTTAAGCAAGAAGAACTATTAAATTCTTATTTTTATATAAATATGAAAACTGTGATACAGAATATATTATAATTATTAAACATCTAAAATCATTTTTAATTAGGAAAAACACGAAAGAAGCACAAAATATGCAGATTCTTAAAGTCTATGCATAACTGTTATAATGGATCATTGTATATTCAAGGCATCAAAGTTCAGTTTTTACAATTGAAAGAGAAACGAATGTTCAGAATGTTAATGAATTAATTTCTAATATTTCCTTACTTTTTTGCTTAGCAAAAAATAAGGCATTCACAATATTGGTTCCATTATTTAAAAGCATCAAATACTCCTAATTTTTCTGCATAAATAAACAAGAGTCCATTTTTTTTTAATATTTATTGTTTAGTTTTCGGCGGACACAACATCTTTGTGTGTATGTGGTGCTGAGGATCGAACCCGGGCCGCACACATGCCAGGCGAGCGCGCTACCGCTTGAGCCACATCCCCAGCCCACAAGAGTCCATTTTTATTGGAATCAGATCACTCCAGATAGCTATAGATATAGCCATATAAAATACTGCCCTCTAGAGGGTGGCTCAAGAAAAATCCTAAGTATTTGCAGACCTTAATTGCAGGCAGTTTTGCTACCAACTTCCCATGGCCAAGGAACAATCTGTTCAAATAGGAGAGAATTTGGCAGCCTCATTAGTGCTGCTAAATTACAGCTGTGTAATATTTAACCCAGATAAAATACTAAAAGGAGCCACTTTGGTTATGAGAAGGTAGCAAAATAATTTATCCTCCAAACCTGGACACTTACTTTGAAAGTGAAAAATGATGCTACTAATAATTATATAAAAACAAAAAGCATTTATCAGGTTTTCCCCAGGCAAACCAGAGTAAGTAGTCACTCCAGCTATGAGGTAAACCTGGTTCTCCAGAATCTTCCACTTTGCCTGATACTGTGTTCAGTTTATTCTTGTCAGATGAAAAAGAAAAGGGTCACAAAAAAACTCAACAGCACAAAATAAAAACAAAACAAAAAACCCAACAACCAATTAAAATATGGGTGAATGACCTTAATAGATATTTATCAAAAGAGGATATACAAACAGCCAACAAGCATATGAAAACATGTTTAACATCACTATAATCATCAAGAGAAATGCAAATCAAAACCACATGAAAGGCTGGGATGCAGATAAGTGGCAAAGTGTCTGCCTCACATTCATACAGCTGTGGGCTTGACCCCCAGTTCCAAAAGACAAAAAAAAAAAAAAAGATAAAAAAAACACACATGAAATATCACCTCACACCTTAAGTTAGGATGGCTATTAACTAAAAGACAAAAAACAATAAATGCTGGTGAGGATATAGGGAAAGGAGAACTCTCACTGTGGTGGAAACATAAACCAGTATCATTATGGAAAACAATATGCAGATTCTTCAAAAAAAAAAAAACAACAGAAACAGATATACCATATGGTCTAGCAATCTTACTACTGGTGAAATCACTATGTTAAAGAGACTTGCAGGTTTATACAGCACTCTTCACAACAGTCACGGTATGGAATCAACATAGTTGCCCATTGCTGGATGAATGAACAAAAATCTCTCTCTCTCTCACACACACACACACACACACACACACACACACACACACACACACCTCACAGGGTACAATTTGAAAGGAGAAATAACTTCTAATGTTTTATAGGGTTAACATGGTACATAACAATTAGCTGAATGTTTCAAAATAGCTAGAAGACAGGATTTTGAATGTTTCCTATGCAAAGAAAAATAAATGTCTGAGATGACAGGCAATTTTCCTGATCTGATCATTACACATTGTATACATGTAGTGAAATGCCATACTATACCCCATAAATACATCAATTAAAAATTTTAAAATATATTAAAAGGAATGGTTACAATGACTGTCTCTACTTCATATGTACAATGATTTCTTAGAAATAATTATCCATATCTCTTCAATGAACTTCAGATTTTCTGAGCCTTGTCAATTTACACTGGGATTAATCCATATATTCCTCAAGAGCTAAGTTCAATCTGCATAAAGTAGATAATGACTTTTCATTAACATTTTACAGATATCTGAAAACATTCTGACATTAGCTTCAAAGTCCTTTGTTGAATCAGCAATAATAAACTGGATGATAAAAACCAAGATTCAAAGGAACAAAGACTGGCTGGCTGGCTAGTGAGATAAAATTTAATAGGGATAAGAGTAAAATCTTATATTTTGCTTTTACTTTTATTTTTTTTAAGAGTGAACCATACATCAGTTTACTGCATTGTCAATTACAATATTCTGCTTCAATAAAAATCTACAGCATAACTAAGGAAAATGGAGACTTGATTTGGAACAAAGTCATATGAAGGCAAACCTCCAGATTAAAAACCTTGGGATTTTAGTTAATTACAAATTCATTATAAGCCAACATTACATGGCTGCTAAAAAACTTACAACTTCAGGCTGCATTAGTGTCCAGATGTGCAACATCCAGGTCCAATTCAGCTACACTGGAATATTATTTCCTGTTCCAAACACATTTTAATGTCCTTAGAGAGCAATCAGTATGATGAAAATGATATCATATGAGGAACAGTTGGAAGAGCTGAGAATGTTTATTCCAAAGGGGGAAACATTTCTGAGGGAAAGAGTATAGAGGATAGAATAACTACCTTAAGATATCTAAAAGGCTGTCATATGGAAAGAGGATCCAAATTCTGTGTAGCTTGAGGGCAAAATTAAGGTCAATAATTATAACCAGTACATTTTAACCCAATACAAGGATGAACCTTAAAACAATCAATAGTAGTACAAAATGGATTGGGTTGTCTTGTAGATTATGAGTTCCTCCTGTTACTGACAGGGACTTCAGACTAGGAGACTAAACATTTTCAAGTCTATAATTATCCTGAAGAATAAGTGCTCAATATAATCCAAAACATGTGAAAATTACCCTCCCTGAAGGGATAAGTTTTATTTCTCAGGTCAATCAAAATAGAATTATAAAATCTAAGATCTCATTTCATAATGGTCAATATTTTGTGAGGTTCAAGTAGTCACCCCATTTCAAATAAAGCAGATCAAATTCTATCATTGAACAGGAGCAGGAGAATCTCTATCCAAAGCTTTCAAGAGGAGATGTCATCTTCTCGGGGGTTGTTTCTATGATATTAGTTTAAATTCCACTGTTTTGAAAAGCATGTATTTATTTAGAAGCACTCAAATGAATACTACATAAACTCTCCAAAGGCTCATGCTCTGATAATGTGTATGTTATTCATTTGAGTGCTTCTGAATAAAATTAAAAGTGAAAGGCAGAAAGATAACTGACAAAAGATTGAAAACTGGGGCTGGGAAGGCACCAAAAGAAAGGGGTGGGAAAGAATAAAAAAAAAGGATCCAAGAGACAAGAAGGTAGAGAAATAATATTGCAGACAATGAGTATAACAGAGGGTACAGAATGTGAAAATGGAAGAAAAATGGGGTATGACTATTGGAGGAGGGTTATAAAGACTTTGGAAGTGAAAAAGTCTGAGTGCAATAAAGTATGCTGACATAACTTAAGGCTTCTCTGTGAAAGCATATTTAGAATATATCCATTAAGTAAGTTGAAGGGTAGGAAGTCAGGGAGAAAGATGTCAAAGAAAGCTTTGCCATGGGGTGGGTAGGCAGCCAGGAATCTTGAGAGGAACAGTGGTTGGGAAAACTGCATTATGAAAGCCAGCAATGGTACAAAAAGGACCAGCAAGCAATGGTGCATGCTATATGAAGGGTTTGGAAGATTTTAAGATGGTGATATGTTGTGAGGACTTAAAATACACATGTACATACACACATTTAGCCTAGTCAATTGTGTGAAGAAAGCTATGGGCAGGTGACAGAGAGGGTTGATTGCTAATTTAGAAAGAAAGTGGGAAGGTTGTAGGGAGGACAGGCAGAGATAAACCCAGAAAATTCACCTAGCTGGTACCTGCACACAATAAAAAGTTTCTGTTTCTCCCAACTTCTTATTATTAAATTTTACAAACATGTAGCATAAAAGTTATTTTAATGGGGAAAATGATATAAAGTAGGATGTACACCAGACTGCCACTGTGTTAAAAGATGTACTTATGGAGCTGGGGTTGTGGCTCAGTGGTAGAACACTTGCCTAGCATGTGTGAAGCACTGGGTTTGATCCTCAGCACTACATAAAAATTAATAAATAAAATAAAGGTATTGTGTCCATCTACAACTAAAAAATAAAAATTTAAAAAAAAAGATGTACTTATGGACAAGACCCAGAGAGTGGTATTTTAAAAAATGGAAAAATATGTCAAAATGGCCAGGCAACATCTGGCATGGTGGTACATGCCTGTAATCCAAGACTCAAGAGACTGAGGCAGGAGGACTGCAATTTTGAGGCCAGCCTCAGCAACTTAGTGAGACCCTGTCTCATAAGAAAAAAATAAAAAGGGCTAGGGGTATAGCTCAGTGGTAGAGCCCTCCTCTTACAAAAA